AATCTAACTCCATAAGGCTATATATGAAAAGCGTTAGCTTGCCATAATTAAACTACTAAGAAAAACAACGGTTCGGCGCGTTTCCCAAGTCTGGCAATACACTGTGTTGTACCCTCCGCAAAATTATGAAGGTACCTCCTTTTCGCTGTCTCTAAGCCACAAGAGAACCAAATTATTGTTCGGTGTTCCTTCGTCATATGGGACATTTGTTTTGGCTTTGTTAAATTCGAATAAAAAAACAAAATATTCATCTAGCTGCCAACAGCGTTAGCTGTGGAGAGTGCTTAGGCTAGGCAATCCGTGCCGAGCATGGGCAAATATCCCCAGGTACGTGTGTATTGTTGTGAATACATTTTTATACATATCGATGTATGTTCATACATATCGTGGTATATACCATCATGTAGCAAGCAAATAAATATTTTACATAGACAAACTCCTTGCACGAAATTCAACTCAGATTCGGTAAAAGAAACGGAATCGGCGGCCCCACTCGTACGTGCCCANCTCCTTGCACGAAATTCAACTCAGATTCGGTAAAAGAAACGGAATCGGCGGCCCCACTCGTACGTGCCCACAACGCGCGTGCAGCCAGTCCTGTGCTGGTACACCGCTGGTTTTACGCGTAAATTATTTGTTTTCCAAAGAAAAGTTTCCAAATGCTTTTTATGTTCATTATTTCAGGGGAACTATCCCTTAAAGTAGCTTGTAGTGGTGAACAACGGCAGTTCCTGCGGCGTCTCTTCAGTCGGCGTTGGCCGCCTCTTGTCTCACCAGCGATGTGAGTGTTCGTGTTCTTTTAATTGTTTTGTCTATTCGGTCGCCGACACAGACCCGCAACATTATTTGGGGAGTGTTTATCTCCTTTTAAATCGAACGGGGGTCAGCCCTTTCGTTTCCGTTCGCGCCTCCATAGCGATGAGTTGAGCAGGCGGAACGCCGCCGCCGAGTCGTTCAGGCGCCGTGTCCCCCTTGTAATTGAACATTTTGTTAGATACTGATTATTTTCGATGTTATCCGTTTTAAGTTTAATGGGAAAATTTCGTTTTAATGGAGCATTATACCCATGGGGGCCGGCCTGAGCGCTCGAGGGTCGGCCCGCCCGTGGGGTCACCTGGGAGGCCTGCCTCGGCGCCGGTTGTGCTTGGCTTTCTTCGTACTTTTTGTCNCCGCCCGTGGGGTCACCTGGGAGGCCTGCCTCGGCGCCGGTTGTGCTTGGCTTTCTTCGTACTTTTTGTCGCCTCTCTGCGTCCCTCTGCCAATGAAGTGCAATCAGCGCACTCGGAAGACAGACCCGATGCCCTCGCGTCGCCTCGCATCTTACGAGAAGCCGCTTACAGCCGTTCCACCTTCAGTTACCTGTTCGACCCTGTTATCTCCTTCGTTTCATCTGCCTTTGGGCTTAACGCAAGAGATGTTGGACCCGCGGTGCTGCAGGCGAGCAAAGGCTCTGAGCCTTCCCCCAATGCCTCGAACTTGACTAGCAGCGGAGTTGAGGCATTGCAATCTTTCCCCCTTGGCGCATTCAAAGAAGCCCCAGAGACGAGATATAAAGAAGGAGACAGTGAAGAGGAAGGTGAAGCATTAACCCCCCTGGTACCGCGTTCTCTTCAAGATGGTCCCCCGACGCGACGGCCGCGGGGCGGTGCATCCGCTAGCCAAACAACAACCAGCACAAGAGCGCTTAGGACTACCAGATCAAGGGGAAGCACAACAACTGGCGACCACGAAAGTACAAGGGCAACGAGGACAAGGGAAAGCACAACAACTGGCGATGGCGAAAGTACAAGAGCAACACAGAGAACGACAACGAGCACCAAGTCAGAGTCTAAAGCATCAACAACGACAACGACAAAATCAACCACTTCTCTTCCTCCTCTTCAGGGATGGAAAGAGGTTGACGAAGGCCCTTTGGATGCTATGAAGAAGGAGCCCGACCTCACTCTCCTCACAAAAGCCATGGATTCCAACCCCTTAACACAAGGGGATTCCATTATCACCCGTCTGGCCATCACTCTTTTCGCCCCAACAGATGA